AGTGTTAGAGTGCTTGCCTAGCATGTGTGAAGTCCTAAGTTTAATCCCCAGCAGCACAAAATAAGGGAAATGGACAAAATAATCAAATGGAATCATATCAGTTGCCTGTTTGTAACCACAAAGGCAGAAAAAGAGTGGAAGACAAAAGTAGAAACTAAGAATAAGGTAACATTTAAACCTGTAATATATAATATATGGTAGATTTATGTGTGTGTGCATGCATGCACATGTACTGAGGATCAAATCCAGAACCTTGTATATGCTAAACATGTTCTCTACCACTGAGCTACATCTCACAGCCCTGTTTATGATAGATAATTCAATTCTTATCAATAATCACTTTGAATGTCAGAGGTCTAAATATACCAGTTGATTGTCAGAGTGGATCAGAAAACAAGACAGAACTATACATTGTCTACAAGAAAACTACTTTAAATATTAAAAATATACAGATTGAAACTAAATGGATAAACTGGGCCTGGTGGCATATGCCTGTAATCCCAGTGGTTTAGGAGACTGAGGCAGGATGATCACAAATTCAAAGCCAGCCTCAGCAATTTAATGAAGCCCTAAGCAACTCAACCCTGTCTATAAATAAAAATACAAGAAAGGGTTGGGGTTGTGGCTCAATGGTTAAGCATCCCTGGGTTCAATCCCTAGTACCAAATAAAATAAAACAAAACAAAAAAAACAAACAAACAAACTGGATGGCTGGGAATGGTGGTGCATACCTGTAATCCCAGCAACTCAGGAGGATGTCTGGGAATGGTGGTGCATACCTGTAATCCCAGCAACTCAGGAGGTTGAGGCAGGAGAATCACAAGCTCAAGACCAGCCTGCATAACTTAGTGAGATCCTGTCACAAAATAAAAAGCCAGCCGTGGTGGCACACACCTTTTATAATCCTTCCTAGTGGTTCAGGAGCTGAAGCAGGAGAATTGCAGGTTCAAAGCTAGCCTAAGCAACTTAGTGAGGCTGTAGGCAACTAGTGAGACCCTGTCTTAAAATTAAAAACAAACAAAACAAAACAAAACAAACAACAACAACAACAAAAAAAAAACACTAAAAGGGCTGGAGATGTGGCTGAGTGGCTAAGTATGCTTGGGTTCAATCCCTGGTACCAAAATAAAAAATAAAATTAAAATAAAGAATAGAAAAGTAAAAAGGACTGGAGAGTAGTTCTGTGGTAAAGTGTCCCTGGGTTCAATCCCCAGTACCAGATAGTTAGATACACACACACACACACACACACACACACACACACACACACACACTAATATCAGGCAAAAGAAAGTGAGAATAGTTCTGTTAATTTCAGATGGAGTAGACTTCAAAGCACAAATGTCATCAGGTATATAGAAGGATATTACTTAATGACGAAGCGCTCAGTTCTGTAAGAAGACATAACAGTTCTTAACATATATGGACCTAACAACAGAGCATCAAAATATGTGAGGTAAGAACTGGGGATGTAGCTCATTGGTAAAGTACCCCCAGTACCCAAATTAAAATAAAAAGAGAAAGGCAAAAATTCTTAGAACTACAAGGGAGAGACAAAATGAATCCAGTATTATAGTGGAGAAGTCAGCACCCTTCTGTCAGAAATGGACAGATTTTTCAGCAGAAAATCAGTAAGGAGGACATGGTTAAGCTCAACAACAGTATCAACCAACTGGATATAATGGCCATCTATACAATACCTCATCTAGTAACAGCAGAATACACAGAATACACATTCTTGTCAATGAAACAAGAAACTAAATGGATAAACTGGGCCTCACATGAAACATTCAAAAAGATAGATAGATCTCATTCTGGGCTACAAAACACACTTTAACAAATGTAAAATAGGAATAGAAATCATGCACTCTCTGCCATAGAACCACAGTGGAATTAAACTAGGTATCAATAACAGAAAGATAGGTGAAAAATCCCAAAATACTTAGAGAATAAATAGCACACTTCTGAATAACATATGGATCATGGGAGAAATCTCAAGAGAAATTTAGAATTATTTTGATCTAAATTAAAATATAGTAACATTGAAGAACATCAAATGTCTAGGAATAAGTTAACAAAAACTTGCAAAGAAATTTCAAGCCATTATTAATGTAAGTTAATGACCTATATAAAAGGATATACTTTTTATATGTAATCAATCAGATAATTGCTATTGTAAAAAGATGTCATTTCTCCCTCAATATGTGTGTAGACTTATTGCAACACAAATTAAATTCCCCCTAAAATTTTTTGGAAGAAATTGGCCAGCTAATTCTAATGATTATATTATAGGATGTATGCAGGAGGGATAGCCAGACATATCTGAAGATTAAAACAAAGTATGTATACTGGATATGCTAGATATCAAACTTAATTAAGATTAAGTAAAGTGTTGCTCTAAGGAAAAGCAAATCAGAAGCAGATCCACTTATATAGAGACACTTGATTTATAACAAAGATGGGGATAAATAGTGGTTGGGGAAGGTATTGATTTTTATATAAACATGTTGAAATAAATAAAACCTGGTCCTACCTAACTCCAACCACATATTAATTCTAGGTGGATATCAGTTCTAAATATGAAAAGCTTCTAGATAGTAATATTATATCATCTCTGTGACCTCTAGAGGTGGGGCAAGATTTGTTTAAAAATATAGAGAAAACACAAATTTAAAATATACATTAAAATTTAGAACTCAAGTTCATCAAAAGATACCATCATGAAAATGAGAAGTTATTTGCAGTACAAATAACCTTCAGAGAACAGGCCTCCAAAATATAGTGTGAATAAAAATATGGGAATGAATTGGTATGACTACTTTGGAAAACACCTTGGTAATTTCTCTTATGGAAATGAATGTGTGTATGTACCAAGAGGCATATAGAAATGTTCATGGCATTGTTATTTGTAGCCTCTCAAAACTATGAAGGTGCCCCTAAACCTAGTACTAGTAATAGTAGAATGGATATACTCTTGCAGATTTGTGTTGGGGAATATTATACAATAACGAAAAGAGTATTCTTACATATGATAGTGAGAATGAATCTTATAAGTAGTGCTTAGCAATAGAAACCCTACACAGAAAATAATCATATTGATAGCATCAAAACGTGGGTGGTATTACAGTTATAATTCAGGATAAAAGTAACCTTTCAGTAGTAAGACACTGTAGCGACTAGAAGAAAAAAAAATTATACAGAATGTGGGACTTATCTTTGCTGGCTCTATTTTTTTCAGGTCTTCACTTTCAGTTTACAGTGATTTTGATTGTCACACTACATTTATTTGTTGTGTCTCCATAGTTTTCTTCAGTGTATGACAGTTCCTCATCATTCTTCATTTGTCATTCGTGGACTTGATACTTAAAATTTTTTTTTTTTACTTGATACTTTTTGAAGAATATGTGTTTCAAGTCAGTTATTTTGTGGAATATTCTTCAATTTAGATTTGTTTTTGCCCCCATGATTGGATTGAATTTATGCAGATTTTGCAGGAATGTCAAGAATAAAGTCAAGAATGATGTAAAGAAAGGATACATAATATTGAAATTTTAGGACCGATGATGTTAACTTTGATTAAATAGTTAAATAAAGTGCTGTCTGCCACGTTTATTCACTGTAGTGTTACTGTTTTCCCTTTTACAATTAATAAGAATTTTAAAGGGAAAAACCTTTGAGTTTGTGCAGATACTGTTTCTCATCATGGAAATTTTAGTGTTCATTTGTGATTCTTGAATGTCTGCCATTGTTTATTTTATAATGTTTGTCTAATAGTGATTTTCTATTTTCATCTTTTTTTTTTCTGTATTTACTGATTGGATTTCTGCTTCAAGGAATATTTGTTCCTCCCTCCTTCCATCTTTTCCCCCTCTCTTTCTTTCTTTTCATTGTGGACTCATGAATATTTATATTGCTAGTGATTTATAATTCACTATTCTCCTTATTTATCGTATTGCTCCTATTTGAAATGTGGCTGCCGGGATATCCTTCTAGTTGTCTTCCATGCCTTTCGGACATACCTCATCATTTTTTGACCATTTCTTTACTTTATGGCATCATAAGATATTCCAGACTTTTACTTTATTTTCTTTCCACAGAATTGTTGTTAAAATTTCTCCAAGTAGCTTTTGTTCTTTTTTTTTACTGGAAGATGGCATTTAGAAATCAAGATTTGGGTGCTTGCTTGTTGATTTTGGACATCGTTATTTGTATTACCTGTCAATTCACAGAGATAGGAAATACAAATATAGTAACACAAACATATAATACATCTACACTTTTTTCTATTATTCATCTATCTAGATATCTATCATTATTTTCTCCTTCAGATACCTCTGATTTTAGCCCAGAACTACAGAGTTTACTTTAGTTTTCCCTTTTCCTTATTTGTTTTCCTTCCACAGTGAGAAACCTGGCCTTCCTTATCCACAACATATTTATTTACTTAATCCAAGAATACACATAAAGTAGTATTAGAATTGCTAACCCATACCTTTATTACCATGTAATTTTTCTTCGGGAATTAGAACACATACAAAACAATATTATTAATTATTAATGAAGGATAACTAGTGGAAACAGTCTGTTTTAGGGACATTGGGAAGTATGACACCCTCCACATAGTATATATTATACTAATTTATTATCATTACAACATTTTTATCCTTTCCCTATTTCTGATTTCATACATTTTCTATTGAATGATCTAGAAATTACTCTTGAAAACTTCTGTTGAAGGCTGCTCCTATTTAGTAGTTTATATACTTAATTGAAAGTATTTTCTGTAATCAAAGTAGACTGCTTTGGTGAAAATATTGAGTTTCTTCTGTTTCTATTTCTGTTTTCTTTGGTTCACTCTTCTGAGTTAGAATGGGAATTTCTCAGGTTTCCCTGGAGAAGATTTTATTGAATTTAGTGCTTCAGAATTGAAAAGAATGTTGGGCAGAGTAATACTTGTCTGAGATAACTTGACTAGTGCCTAATAACATGTTTCTGTTCAGGTGGATACGCGTTTGCAAAATGGATTTGCTCCTGGGATGAAACTGGAGGTGGCTGTGAGAACAAATCCTGAGACCTACTGGGTTGCCACCATCATTACTGCTTGTGAGCAGTTGCTTCTTCTCCGCTATGATGGCTACGGAGAGGACCGGAGAGCAGATTTCTGGTGTGACATCAGGAAGGCTGATCTTTACCCCATTGGGTGGTGTGAGCAAAATAAGAAGACTCTTGAAGCCCCAGAAGGTAATACTTTCTGGCAAGACTTGATATGACTTTGCTGTAAGAAAGTTTGAATTGACAAGAGACTGAGATTTTCAGTTTCCAAGGCACATAGATAAGTTGACTCAACTTTTTTAGGTTAACAGTTCAGATGAAAACAATTATAAGGAATAATACACATTTCCCTCTCTTTTAAAATTATTTTCTCCATAAAGCATCAACTTTTTATGATGTTCGTAGAGGACATCATTTGATTCTCACCCTTTAAAACTGTGAGATTGGTTGAGTTTGGCACTGGAAGGTCTGGCTGTTTTTAAGTATATTGAGTCAGTTTGACATACTGTCCATTCTCTTCCTATTTTTATTATCCTCTCTCCTCTTACCCTTAAGCAATTTGGGAACTGAGAACCAACTGAAGTTCCATTCCAGGAAGGAGCCCTTCTGAGAGATAAGTCCAGATTGAGCCAGGAGAGAGAGAAGAATAAAGTCAGAAGAAGGATGAGATAAAAGTGGGGAAAGGGAAGAGAGACTACAGATTTTAGAGGACACTAGACTTTATATATCTTTTAACTTCTTATTTTAATGTAATTTCAGATTTACACAAAAGTTATAAGAATAGTAAAGAAAAGTCTTGGAGACTTTTTGCCAAGTTTCCCCAAATGTTGACATTTTACCACATTTGCTTTATCCTTTCTCTCCTGCCCACGCATGCTTTTTTAGCAAACTGAGAGTCAGTTTTAGACATAATGCCCTTTTACCCAGAAATACTTTAATGTATCTCTAAGAACAAGGCATTTGTGAGCACAGTAAAATATCAAAATGAGGAAAGTAACTTTGATACAAGTACCCTTATTTAATCTACAGACCTTTTAAAGCTTTTTAACAATTGTCCTAATAACAATTTAATAATAAAAGAAAATCCTGGATCATGTGTTGCATTTGGTTGTCATGTCTCATAAATAAGTTTCCTTTTATATCTGAAATGTTCCTCAGACTTTTGTCTTTCATGGCTTTGACACATTGAAAGGTACAGGTCAGTTTTCCCAATAATATTCGTGGTGTTCTGCTCCCAGGAATGGTCATTATGCCCTATTTCTGTTCCTGGACCAGAAAGAATCTAGTCCAGGATCACATGGCATTTAGATGTTATACCTCTTTAGTTTTCTTACCTTTTCTTTGTCTTTCTTGGTCTTGACATTTTTGTATAGTACAGGATATTTACTGAATAGAGTTGTTCCAAATTTGGATGTGTCTTATATTTCTGTAGATTCAGATTGTGTACTTTTGGTAGGAAAAATGCAGAAATTATGTCCTTTTAGTGTATCCTAATTGGAAGATGCATGTTGTTGATTTGTCCAATACTGATATTAACTTTCATCACTTAGATTAAGTTGGTATTTACAAGAGTTTTCCATTAAAATTATTTGCAGGCTCAGTGGTGCACACCTACAATCCCAGCAACTCAGGAAATTGAGGTAGAAGGACTACAAATTTGAGGCCAGCATCTGCAACTTAGAGCCTGTTTCAAAACAAAAAAAAAAGAGTGACTAGGGATATAGCTCAGTAAAAAAGTGCCCTATGTGTTAAAAAAAAAAGTGTCTATTTATATATTTAAGTATATACACACACACACATATACTTTTACCCTTTTAAATTAATTAACATCTAATAAATGCTTTGCAATTGTTAAAATATCACTGTTCACCCACTATTTTTAGCATTCACTAAAAAGTTTTATTTGAAACAATTATTACTCTACAGGTTACCAAATGGTGTTTTTCTAATTTCTTCTATGTTTCTTTTTTTTTCTTTTTTAGAGAGAGTGAGAGAGAGAGGGAGAGAGAGAGAGAATTTTTTAATTTTTTTTTTTTTTTTTTAGTTTTCGGCAGACACAACATCTTTGTTTTGTATGTGATGCTGACGATCGAACCCGGGCCGCATACATGCCAGGCGATCGCGCTTGAGCCACATCCCCAGCCCTCTTCTATGTTTCTTAATTGACTTTCTACTATAGAAAGAGGTTTCTCATTTCTCCCATTTTTGTGTGTGTATATATATATATACACACATGTATATGTAGTATGTCAATGTAGACTCATGATTCTGATTTTATTCAATGGGTTATAATCTTTTATTGTTATTATTTGTTTTATGCTGAAATTGTCTTAGATTCATCAAGTTAGATACCTCTTTAAGCTAGAATGTGCCCTTTTGATATGTACCTTTCCTTTTTTTTGGCAGTTTTTTATTTTTTTGACTTAAGTTTTTTTTTTTTTCATTTTTTTTCAATCCACCCCTGAAATCAGCATTTTTCTTTTAGTGAAGAATGTTGTTTAGAGATGATGAGTTATTATGGACTTCTAGTAAGATATATTTTTACTTTGTAGAAAAGAATACAAAACCAGGCATAGTGATGCACCCCTTAAATCCCAGCAATTTGAGAGATAGAGGCAGGGAGATTGCATGTTTGAGGCCAACCTGAGCAATTTGGTTAGATTGGTCTCAAAGTCCCCAGAAGTCAAAGGTCAAATGTTTTTGTGATATGTGGGAGCTAATCCAAAATAAAGTGGCGTGGGAGGGAAGAAGAAAAAAGGAGAGGGAATTGCATCAGTATAGTAGAGGGGATTAAGAAGGAGGAAAAAGAAAGAACAGGGGAATAAATCTTACTGAACTTTTGTGTGTGCATGCATGGATTTGGCACAGTGGGTCCTGGCATCAGGTATATCCATACTACACTAACATAGTAATTTAAAAAAGTAAACTGTAAATGGTTTGATGAAGGATTGATAGAGTAGAGTGAGGGGAGTAGTGAGGGAGGGCATGGAGGAAGTGTTGGGGACTGAATTGGGGTGGAGCTGGTTGTGTTCCATGCTTTTGTGATTATGTCAGGGTATATCCTGGTGTTGTATATAACTAAAAAGAATTTTTTAAAATGGGGAAAAATTAAGTTAAAAGGTCTGGGGTACATAGCTCAGTGGTAGAGAGCTCCTGGGTTCCATCTAGTACCAAAATAAATAAACAAATAAGAGGAAGCTCTAGAGGCCTGAAGCTACCTAGCCTATCATCTCATCTAAAGATTATAGGAAAGTACATCTCATTTAATCCAAGAACAACAGAAATGGTTTTAGTTGAACGTCATGTAAGATTATTATGACAAAAAGAAAATAGAGTAAAATTGATGAATACTATGTTTAATAAAAACATTTCAAAACAAGCTAATAGTAACAGTAGTAGTAATGATAAAAGCAAAATAAAATTTATAAAAATTCAGAAATGAGATGACTAGAGGAGAGGAAGATTTAAAAAGAGAAAAAGTAGAACTTAGGCTGGAAACAGAAAAAAAATTAGACATGAAAACTTAGTTAAAATGAAGACAGGAATGAATCAACACCATAGATTATATCTGAAGAGAAATAGAAGGTGAAAGTAAAGAAAACTCTTTCATTTTTTTAAGGAATTCAACGTATCTTTTATTTGGGGGAGAGGTTTTTCCCATACACCCAGGAACTTGTTAAAAATATTCCAATAACACAGTAAGAAAACATTTTTAAGTAAAAATGTGTGGGGCAAGAAAAAAGGACTTAAGAAAAATTAGATTGATTATAATGATTTAATATACATAAAACAGAAGAAGAAAACCAAAGGAATGAAACAATAAAATACAATAAACTATAATATAAATAAACTTTGCTGGAATAAAAGACAATGTGAAGTTCATACTATAAAGCTCATTAAGTATGTAGGAAAATCAAATGAGAACCACTGTATCAACGTGTGTTCTGGCTGGCTACACACCAGAGTATATACCTGTAATCCCAGAGGATTGAAAGTTCTAGGCTAGTCCAAGCAATTTAGTAAGACCCTGTCTCAAAAATAAAAATCAATAGGTCTGGGGATGTAGTTCAGTAGTAGAGCATTGTGTAGTATGTGCTTAGACACTGAGTTTACTCCCCATTAGTGGGGGTCGGGGAAGTTCCAGTGAAATTATTGAAGTTTAAGGCAAAAAATAATTCTTTGGTTGTTTATGCAAAAGACCAGGTTTCTTGCAAAGGAAAGGAAACAAAGTTGTCATGAGAGTTATTAACAGTAGTGGTTTATACCAAAAGATAGTGGAACACTTGAAATACAAATTTAAGAAATTCAATGAAAGAATATAACAAGGATTTTAAATCTAGCCAAGCTGAATTTTAGGTATAAAGATCGTATGAAAACTGTTAGCAATAGGTAAAGTACTTGAGGAACATTGTTCATGGGAACCTTTCATAAATTTTCTAGAGAATGAACTTTAGAAAGCCAAATGAATGAAGTAATGTTAGCATAAGAGCTATTAGTGACACATTAAATATATATTATAGTTGTATAGTATACACTATATAATTAAAGGAGACATTGTACTATGTAAGGGAACTCTGACAATGTAGATAGAATATCACTATAAAAATATGGGACATAGTGGGGAAAGCATATAAGTAGTGGTATAAGTTTACTTATTGCCTTTTGAAAATTTTAACTGTCTTTATTGTCGTGTAATTTAACTAGTTACCTGTTAAGTTTTAGCAGGGAGTATGAATTGAGATGCTGAAGTTTACTAGAGGAGATGTTAATGTTTAGAGAGAAAAAAAGAAAATAGTCCCAAAACAAGACTAAAAGTATTATATAAATGTGTTAATATAAAAGTTAGCAGAAAATATAAACTTTTCTTTCTTTTTTTTATTGGTTGTTCACAACATTACAAAGCTCTTGACATATCATATTTCATACATTAGATTGAAGTGGGTTATGAACTCCCAATTTTACCCCAAATGCA